GGCGGCCAGAGCCCACCGGACACCCGGCGGGACCTGCAGAGTTGAGCGGCTCCAGGACACACGGGCCCCTCCGAGCGGCCCCGCGCTCCGCACGGAGGACTGGAAAATGCCACCACCCTTTCTCGCAGTGTCCACCTGCCTCTGTGGGAACTGAAAGCCACGTCCCTCTAACTGTGGAAGGTTCCAGCCCGATGATGTGAGTTCGTTTGGTCTCTGTGCTCTGATCGCAGTGACGGGACAGCGTGTGACCCGGAGGATGGGTGCGTTGCTTGGGAACTGCTGGGCTCCTGTGTCACCTGTAGTGGCTGGGGAACTAGTTAGTGTGCCTTGCTCAGTGGGGATGAGTGAGCTGAATGACTCCTCGGTACTTCTTATCCTCTGGCCCGCAGTACTAATCTTGGGAAACAGAAACTGGACCAAGTCCATGCTTGGCTTTTGGCTGAGCGGGCCGTCTGGACTGGGTCATCTCCGGTTGCGGTTGCCCATCCTCCTGGTGCCCCTCTGTTCATTTCACTGCCCATGTCGTGACTGCCAGGTAGCCCGGGAACCACAACAAAACGATCTTGCTCTGACCTCGGAGTGTCCACATTTTTCTGCAGATCCTTACATTTCAAAGAAGGTGCTGAGGGTTATGTTTTCCTGCCCTGGTTTCTCAGGGGAGTCGAGAGCAGCAATCCTTGTTGACCTTTGAGATACGCCAAGTCCAGCCTCACTGCTTCTGGCTGCTTTTTATGTGAGTGTGGACGGGTCTCGTTCACTCATTTTCCAAGTATTTGCTGACTTCATTGTTGGGCGCCAGGCACAATCCTTTTTGCCTGGAGGACGGTTGGCCATCTTTGTGCGACAGTAGCTTTGCGGGTGGCAGAGATGTTTAAGGCCTTTGCACTTTCACTGAAGACAGTTTCTAGACTTGGTCTGTGTGTACTGTGGGGTTCCCCTCACGGCAGGGACCCCCTTATGCATGAGCATTTCCCAAACCTGCTCTGGAACTCTCAAATCCAGATGACTCCATGAGACGACAGGCTGCTCCTGCCTGAATTTGGGGAAATTGTTCCACCCTAAACCTGGCTCCATTCTCCAACTGCAAAGCAGTGAAAGTTACTCTTTCCTCCTTTATTTCCTCTTCTCAAATCCCCAGGGTACTCTCTCCACACTGAATCTTGCCAACTTTTCATTCCTTTGCCTCAAAACACCCTGTAGGCTGTCTCTGCCTATTCCTTTTTCAGAGGCTTGGCCCAGCCTGGTGATGAAGTGTGGCTCGCAGAAGTTAAGGTAGATCCAATCTGAATCCCAGCTCAGCCAGGATGACATGTGTGATCCTGGGGCAGATTTTATTTACCCACTTTCTGTTTTAGTTTTCTCACGTCAAACAGGGGTACCAGAAATACTGACTTCCCAGATTCAAGGAAGGTAGAGTCCTGAAGCTTAAAGGTCTTTGTTTACCATTATGTCCCTGGTGCCTAGAAAAATACCTGCATATAGCAAATGCTCAGTAAAGACTTGCTGACTGAATGAATGCAAGAGTTAGTGCATGTAAAACCGGAAGCTGTGTTTGGAAGTAAGCCCTCGATATTATGACTTATTATTACATTAACACATTTTACACATCAAGAAACTGAAGCACGGCCGGGCGTGGTGGCGCACACCTGTGATCCCAGCACTCGGGAGGCTGAGGTAGGAGGATCGCTGTGAGTTCGAGACCAGGCTGGGCTACATAGTGAGTTCCAGGTCAGTCTCAACTGCATAGTGAGACCCTGTCTCAAAAAACTAAAAAGAAACAAATAAACCCCACCGAGGGAAAAAAGTAGTTTTTTTTTATGGTGCAGGGACCCTAAGTAGCTGCTTCATTACAAGACCTGGATTCCCTTGTTCCCCAGCTACCCAGGGGGTGAAGCCAAGGATTCTGCGAGCATCAAGGGACCACGTGTCCTCCTAATAGTAATTTGTGAAAATCCGTGCTTCTGCTTTTGATCTATTCTTAGTTACAGTTGTTTCCTCAGCCATTCCGTTGCTTCAACTTAATAAACACAGATTTTGAAAGAACGTGCGTGTCTTGTGTGTGACTGGCTTGGAAGACTTCTGCGACTTTGCCCCCACAAGGAAAGCACAGCCCTCGTGGTCCGGAAGCTCAGGCAGAGCTGTGGACAGAGGTGTGCACTAAAGCAGCAAGAACAAATCAAAAGGAAGAGAAAGCAAAACCTCAAACAAAGTCTCGATTCTCAGCTCGCTTCCTTTTTTATACTCGCAGGATGTGACACAAATCTTACCAAGAAGCATTTTTGTTCATAAGGTGTGGAGCGTAGGTGATGAGGCTCCTTTGCAGCTACCTGGAACAGGAAAGGAACAGATCTAGTGGGAAGGCCTCCCTCCCTCCCTCCCAGTTGTTTAGTAAAAGTCACAGGGGAGCCGAGGGGGTACTGGTCAGCTGTTCTATGGGTCCATTGTGGGAACCAGAACCTTTTATTGGTGCTGACAGTGGTAAAAGTTTAAGTGCTGGTCTGTTCAGGATGTTTTTTTTTTTTTCCCTTGATTAATTAAAACCTAGAAGGTAAACAAAACAAATCCACACCTGAAAGGTTAAGGTGTCTGCAGTGGCAGAGCACCCTGGAGAGGGTTGGATCTCAGGGCCAGAGGGGGAAACAGTTGCCAGGATTACGAGAAGGCCAGGTGAGGTGGGACCCAGCCCTGCTGTGATGCAGGTCCCAACTGCCTGCTCTGGGCCTCCTGAGCCACAGCAGGCTCCACTGCGGCTCAAAACCCCGACACAAGGCTACAGAGAGCCCCACAGGACCCGTGGCATCATCTGCAGGGCTGGATGCAGACAGGAAGGGTGGGGCCCTTATTGGAAAACTATTCCGGATTTGGAGAGGGTATCAACTGGGCATGAACCTAGCACATCCATGAGTCTGGCTCTAAATCGAGAGAAATAGGTGGGCTCACATGTGGGTGTAATCTATGTTCAGTGTCCCCTCTATAGGCCTTCCTTCTGTCTTTGTTTGTTTTGGGTTTTTTGAGGTTGGGTCTCCCTTTGTAGTTCAGGCCGACTCTGAACTCACTATGTAGCCCAGGGTGGCCTCAAACTTGCAGTGATCCTCCTGCCTCAGCCTCCCAAGTGCTGGGATTATGGATGTGTGCCACCGTGCCCGGCTCCAGGCCCTCCCTGTTTAATCACTGAATTCCGTTCCTGAGACCATGGCTCTGGTGATATATGCTCTCTGCTACTCCCACTCTGCGTGTCTCTGCTGGGACAAGGACTGGCCCTACAACCTACTTTCACCAGTTCATTGTGGTAAGGATGATGGTCAGGCATTAAGCAGGGCACCTATGGCTCCTGGAAGCCCCAAGCGGACCACGTATGGTATCTAGCCTCCCCTTGCACAGAACATGGACAGAAGCTGTGTTTTGGTGCCACACAGTGAGACAACATAGAAAGGCCAATGGAAAAAGCCACATGGAGCCAGGCATGGTGATGCACACCTGTCATCTCAGCTACTCTGGAGGCTGAGACAGGAGAATCGCAAGTTCAAGCCAACCAGGCAATTTAGGGAGGCCTTGCTCAAAATTAAAAAAATTTTTTTTTGGTCCTGGGGATCAAACTTGGGTCCTTGCTCTTGCGAGGCAGGCAGTAGAATCACTGAACTAAATCCCCAGCCCCTCAAAATAAAAATTTTAAAAGAGCTGGGGTATAGCTCCATGCAAAGGCCCTGGAGTTAAAAAGAAAGGAAGAAAAAAAGTCACACAGAAGAGCCACATAGAGAAGCTCAAGATTCCATGAAGAGGGAGAGGAGCTACTGTCCTGCTTACCCATCCTTGTGACTTTAGCCCAGCTGCCATCAAGGGCCCCAAGTGAGAAACAGTCAGCTGAGCCCAGACAACCCAAAGGACCATAAATGATCGTACTTGGTTGTCTGAGGTGTGGTTATCTGAAGCCACTAGGGTCTGTGGTTTGTTACACAGTAATGGAAAACTAAAACAGGAATCCCTGGTTGGTCAAAGACAGGAAATAGCTAAGTACTTTACATTTCCAAGGCTCAGTTGTTCAATCTGTGAAATGGGAATGATAATAACAACAGCACCACTCCCACAGGGCTTGTACAAAGACTGATTGAGGCTACACATAGCAAACGGCTGGTGAAAGACAGCTGTGGTGTGTGTGTGTGTGTGTGTGTGTGTGTGTGTGTGTCTGGTGCTGGGCACACTAGGCAAGCTCTCTACCACTGAACTACTCCCCCAGTGGCAGTTCAGTATTGAATATATGCAATTTGTGTCATGTACCTATAGTCCCACCTGCTTTGCAGGCTGAGGCAGGAGGATCTCTTGAGTCCAGAATTTGAGGTCAACCTGCTCAAGATAGACCCTTTCTCAAAAAATAGCTCACTCTAGTCCTTCGGCACACCTTCTGCCTGTCAAGGAAACCAAGCATAGAGAATAAGGTCCTTGTGAGAGTCACAAATGTTGAGTGGAGTTTCTACCAAACTCCAGGAATCACTGCCTTAGTCTTTGGAATGATTCACAAAAACAGGTTTCTGTACAGCTCACACACTAGTAAGAAAAAAAAAATAGCTGCATAAAAGAAGGACCCAAGCAAGACAAAACCTGCCCGCCTTGCAGTGGGAAGACTGGAAATTCCATAACACCCAGGTCCAGGGAGGTGCGGAACTGAGGGCTCCTGGGCGGTTGGGAACCTTGGTTTGGAATCAGACCGCTAGACACCGAAGTAAGGAACTCAGAGATCGCCGACTTCCTTGGTTTCCCAAAGAGGAAGCCGTCGGGCTGAGGCTGGGCAGCTCATTAACGACAGAGCTACAACAAAACCCAGCTTGTCTCCTTTTGCAATCTGTTTCCTAATTTTATGCACCTGCACTGCTGTAAAAAATATAAAATGGTAAAAGTGAGGAAGGAAGATCCCTCGCAAATTCTAGCTGCCAGAAATAACTACATCCATAGTTTTCTGGACTCTCAGTTAATAAAGCCCATTAGGATTACTCTGGGGATGTTGGTGACAAGTCCACATTTATCCAGGAAGAAAGCTCGGTGCTCAAGGAAATAAGGGCAGAAACAAATGGCAAGCATTTCAGTAGCACAAGTGCTCCATATGACCTCCATCCAGTGCAACACAATTGGCCAGGCAAGATGCACTAAGAGGCAGGGTGGTGTAGTGGTTAGGGACACAGGTCTGAAAGTCAATGACAGATTCAAATCTATGCTTTTCATTCATTAGTTGGGTGACTTGAACATATTATCAGCTGCTCTGAGTTTCACTTTACTCATTTTGAAATCGGACCTGCTGGGTGTGGTCGCGCGCACCTGTAATCCCAACACTTGGAGGCTGAGGCAGGAGGATCGCTGTGAGTTAGAGGCCAGCCTGGAATATGTAGTGAGACCCTGTCTCAAAAAACAAAGAAAGAAACAAACACAAAAAAGAAAAGAAATAAGATCAGTGCTAGTCCTTCCCTCGTAGGTGACAGTCCAGAGGGCACAATAAGATAACACATTTAAAGCTTGAGGCACGGGGTTCCACACACTGGAAACTCTCTGTAATGCAGGTGCTTTAATGGTCTTCATCTTCATCATCACCCAGTTACTGAATTTAGGCACACAACTAAGGGAATACATTTCCAATTTTTTTCTTTTTTTTGTACCGGGGATCAAACTCGGGCTCTTGTGCGTGTGAGGCAGGCGGCGAAGCCACTAAACCAAATCCCTGGCTCTACATTTCCAATTTCTAACTCAAAGTACAACAATATAATTAGAAATGTCATGCATGTAATCCCAGCTACTTGGGAGGCTGAGGCAGGAGCATCACAAGTTTAAGGCCAACCTGGGCTAAATATAAAGTTCAGGGCCAGCCTGGACTGCATAACAAGATTCAGTCTTAAAAATAAAGAAATAGATAAATAAAAAAGAAAAAACTCATGAGAGTAAAATATTAAACTATAGAATGTTCTACAGGATGACCTCCATTACACTAAAAAAATTCTAAAACCTGATACCCTTCAAGGCCAAGCTTAGTGTCCTTCTAGGTCCTGCAGCTCTCAGTTTATAGAAATGGGGGCTTTTTAAAAAAATAGGGCCTTTAAAAAAATTCCATGTGGGGCCAGGGATTTAGCTCAGTGGTTCTACCGCGTTCCTCACAAGTGCAAGGCAGGCTCAAGGTCCTAAGTTTGATTCCCCCATACCAAAAATAAACAACAACAACAAAAATCATGTAGCCTGCAATTAATGTAATCAGTATATATTGCAAACATGGACTAAGAAAAAAATTGGTTTTTGTGAGACAAGGTCTTATGCAGCCTAGGCTGGCTTTGAAATCACAGGGATCCTCCTGCTTCAGCCTCCTGAGTGCATGCACCACCACACCTGGCATCCAGCCCCCCAGCCCAGCATTCTTTTCTAACTAGAGACTGATTGCAGAGCTCAGTGTAGAAAAGCAACCCATGTTTGCACAGAGATGTGGCTGAGGAAAAGGGCTCAGGTTCATCACATCTCTTCTTAAAATGAGCAAGGGCTCTGTGCTTCACCCCTGCAAAGGCGAATCACAGGTGTGCTGCTCTGTCCTCGTATCTGACTCATGCGAACGTTCCACGCTGCTCCTTGGAGTTTCTGGAAAGCCATGCCGTGGAATGGAGCACTGTTATGGCTGCCACGGTGGATGTCACTCATGCAAGTGACGGTGAGCTTAACCCTCCCGCACTAGGTGCTTCATCCTGAGCACAGCACAGCCCCCCAAGGGATGTCCCCCGGATCTTAGTAATTCCGAAATGCCAGCCGGCTTGCCCAAACTTATCCTTTACGTTGAGAAAATGCGGTGAGTTCCTGTCTGCTCAGGGGATTTTATTACTTGTTTATGCAAACAGCAGGTTGCATAAGAGCCTTGCCAGCTTTTTTTTTTTCAAGTGATTTCGTAGTTTCCTGGTAACCATTCAGTCATCTATTTCAACACCCCCGTGACATAAAGTCGAGGGCTGAGCCACACGGTTGCCACAGCCGGCCTCTCCCGGGCACTGGCGAGCGAGGGAGCGCTGCGCCCTGCCGCGGCCCGGCCCGGCCCACTCATGAGCGTCCAGGACCACTTTCTGGTCATCCACGGCAAGAACTGCTGCGTCTTCCGAGACGAATGCATCGCCAAGGTGCTGGCGCCCGTGGTGGGGCTGGAGTTCGTGTTTGGGCTCCTGGGCAACGGCCTGGCCCTGTGGATTTTCTGCTTCCACCTCAAATCCTGGAAATCCAGCCGGATCTTCCTGTTCAACCTGGCCGTGGCTGACTTTCTCCTGATCATCTGTTTGCCCTTCCTGACGGACAACTACGTGAAGAAATGGGACTGGAAGTTCGGGGACGTCCCCTGCCGGCTGATGCTCTTCATGCTGGCCATGAACCGGCAGGGCAGCATCATCTTCCTCACGGTGGTGGCCGTGGACCGGTACTTCCGCGTGGTGCACCCCCACCACGCGCTCAACAAGATCTCGAACCGCACGGCGGCCGTGGTCTCCTGCCTGCTGTGGGCCGTCACCATCGGCCTGACGGTTCACCTCCTGCGCAACTCCATGCTCACCCAGAACGGCCCCGCCAAGCTGTGCAGCAGCTTCAGCATCTGCCACACTTTCCAGTGGCATGATGCCATGTTCCTCCTGGAGTTCTTCCTGCCCCTGGCCATCATCCTGTTCTGCTCCTTCCGGATCATCTGGAGCCTGCGGCAGAGACAGATGGACAGGCACGCCAAGATCAGGCGAGCCATCAACTTCATCCTGGTGGTGGCCATCGTCTTCGTCATCTGCTTCCTGCCCAGCGTGGCCGTGCGGATCCGCGTCTTATGGCTCCTGCACACCTCGGGCACGCAGGACTGCGAGATGTACCGCTCGGTCGACCTGGCGTTCTTCATCACGCTCAGCTTCACCTACATGAACAGCATGCTGGACCCCGTGGTGTACTACTTCTCCAGCCCCTCCTTTCCCAACTTCTTCTCCTCGCTCCTCAACCGCTGTCTCCGGAGGACGCTGCGGGAGCCAGAAAACAACCGCAGCACCAGCGTGGAGCTCACTGGGGACCCCAGCAGCGGCAGAGGCGCCCCAGACGCGCTGATGGCCAACCCCAGCGAGCCCTGGAGCCCCTCTTCTCTGGCCCCCAGCTCACGTTAAATAACGGGGCTGCGGAGAGACTCACCAAGCGTCAAGCCCACTGCAGGGACACATGGTGACATCGATAGACTCGGCCTGCGGTTTCCTGGACCTTCCAGATTCAGAGAAGCATATTTAGACCGTGCGGCCGAGTGTGGGAGACTCGACTGCAAACTATGACCACAGAAAGTTTTGGGGAACAGAGAACTAGGCTCTGAGACAGTTGAAACTTCTGCCTCAGCTCTGGCACCTGAAGACGGACAGAGCACCCACGTTTCTGTCCGCACAGCTTCAGTCCCACCCTTCAGCGCCTGCGCTGCACGGCTCCGTCCTCCCCCTGCCTGAGACTTGGATGACCCTCAGCTCCCAGGGTGATCTCAAGCTTTTGTGCACCCCAGCAGGGACAGAGAGAGTCGAGAGACTGGGGGAGAATCTTGCGGTTCTGGAGGGGGCCCAGGCAGCCCTAAGAAGCCAGTCATCACCCGGGTCCCACAGCCCAATTCACTCCCGGCCCCGCATTGGCAGAAACGGACAAGGCAGACGTCCGGAAGCTCCTAGTGGTACCTGAGTTCCCAGGGGTGGTGAGAAGGGGGTGAGCCCTAGGAGGGATGGAGCTGACCAGTGTTAAGGGACAGCAGTGGCCCTAGTGCTACAACCGGTGACTGATCCATCCCACCCTTGTTCACACTCAGCCGAGGGCTGAGCAGGTGAAAGGCCTCAGGGAGGCGAGTCACTTCCCGCCTGTTTGCTTTTATCACTAATGAGAAATGTGCTGCTGCCCTGAAATGTGCTCCAGCGGTGGCTGGAGGGGACCAGTTCCTCCTGGGTCATTTGCTTGTGTTTTGCTCTTAAATCTACTATTTCAATAAATTTTGAAAGGAGACACAGTGTGGTGTGGCATCTCAGTGGGTGAGGGTTCACAGAGTGCACGTCTTACTCAAGCGGAGACTGTTAGGGGCTGTCAACTCTGTCCTGGTGGGAAAACCCTGTGCCCTGCAAAGTGAGTTAAGTCATGAGACGGCAAGCAAAAATGACACGTGTAGGGACAGGAAAGTGCTGAGACTAAATAAGGAAAATTCAGAAGGGTGGGACAGGCAGGCTTGCAAGAAGAATGTCCGTTTTACTTAGGAGCGCGGGGAGCACGGCTCTTAGCATTTGTGTATTAAAAGGGGGATCAGACCAGAGTGGGATCTTCCCACAGCAGGAGGAAGAGCTTCCTGTGGAGGTTTCAGTTCCTGGTTCCGACATGGAAAGAAGATGTACTGGTTTGAGGCTGTGATCGGTCCAAGTTTCTGTTACGATTTCATTTCCATCCACTGTCAATCCTGATCTGAGCAAGATGGGGCTTGCTGCCGCCTCCCGACGCGGCAGATACAGATAAGGATTTGGGTCCTCCGCCTCCAGCCGGTGCGTGGTGATAAATGAAGTTTCTCCTGTTCCGAGGAGTTCGCCTGTCTGGATCCCCACGCAGCTCCTAGAGGTGGCAAGGAGGAAGCCGGGGCCCCTTCTCACGGAAGAGAGAGAGGAGATGAGCCCGGGGTTTCCCCAGCCTCAGGCCTGAGTCAGTGGGAACCTGCAGGACACCTCAACTCTCGGGGTGCGGGGTGCAGCTGGGCGCTCCCCTTTGCTCTTTGATTCGGGGGTTCACCCGGTTTTACGGACTGGGCAGCGATGAGGTGCTAAGCACTGTTCTGCGGGGCAGAGGCAGGGCAGGGGCAAGGATGGCAAAGTCCTCACGTTCCAGGCAGCGGGCCAGCGAGGGGCGAGGTAGAGACATAAAGCAGGGTGACAGGGACAGGGAGCTGGATGAGGAGGTGACTCTGAGCTCAGCCCAGAGAGACAAGTCAGAGCAAACCGTGGAAAAGTCTGGGAGGAGCGGTCCAAGCAGAGCGAGGGGGGGTGAAATCAGTCGGATGTGTGGGGTTTCCACTGGTCACCTTAACGGCGCACCATACACTGGATGGCATAAGACAATAGAAATTAAGACCCTCGCTGTTCTGGAGGCCAGAAGTCCAAAAGCAAATTATTGGAAGGCTTGGTTCCTTCTGGAGTTTTTTGTTTTTCCAGTACTAGGGACTGAACCCAGGGCTTTTGCATTGATCCAAATCCCCAGCCTTCTATACCTTCTATTTTGAGACAGAGTCTCTCTGAGTTGCTAAATTGGGAGGGCTCGCTCAAACTTGATCCTCAGCCTCCCAGGGTGCTGGGGTGAGGGTGTGCAGCACCGCACCTGGCCTTCTGGATCTTTCCTGCGCTTCCTCGAGTGGGATCGCTGGGATTGCTGGGGTTTCTTGGCCCGTGAACAGGTTGTCCCATCCTCCATCCTCACTTCTCTTGGTGTCTCTGTCTCCTCCTCTGTCTCTATGGACACTTGTCACTGGTTAGGGTCACCCTGACCCAGGAACTACATCTTAACCACACCTTACTTATCCCCGGTAAGGTCACACTCTGAGATTTGGAGTGAACATGCATTTTGGTGGCTACAATTCAGCCTTCCACAATGAGGGACAGAGAAGAGGCCAGTGTGTCCAGCCCAATGATGTGAGACCAGCCACATGGAGAGGTATAAAACTCTGTCCTATGAAAACAATGAAAAATGACAGTCTTGGGAAACAAGATCCCTTTTTTTTTTTTTTGGTACCAGGGATCAAACTTGGGTCCTTGCGCTTGTGAAGCAGGTGGCAGAACCACTGAGCTAAATCTCCAGCCTACAGATCACCTTTAACTAGAGAAGTGTTCCAAAACACAGCAGGAGCTCAGCTCTCTTTTAAAATTCGCACATCATGCCAGGCATGCTGTCGTGGCTCACTCCTGTAATCCCAGCACTCGGGAGGCTGAGGCAGGAGGATCACTGTGAGTTCGAGACCAGCCTGAGCTGCACAGTGAGTTCCAGGTCAGTCTCTCCTACATAGTGAGACCCTGTCTCAAAAACAAA